ATTTCTTTGAAAAGTTTCGGCAAATATTTTTTATACTTAGAGCAAACGGATTCTAATGATTTTTATATTAAATTAAAGAGCACTCTTTTGTCTACAAGCAGAGTATCTTTTCGCGTTATAAAACAATCTGCAAAGGTTCAAAAATTGGCAAAGAAAAATTAGCGGATTAGGCATTGTCCACAATGCCTAATACCAGGCATTGTTCACATTACCGGCCTAGGTTCCAAACCTCCCCCGGCAATGCTAGCAATGCCTGGCTTTAGGCATTGTGAACAATGCCTGATCCGCTAATTTTTCTTTGCCAATTTTTAAACCTTTGCGAATTGATTTATAACTTAAATTAGTATTCTACGTGTAGATAAAAGAGTGTACTTTAATTTAATATGAGTTTCAATAAAATCTATTCACTTTTAGTATAGAAAATATTTGCCGAAACTTTTTAAAGAAATGGCAAAGTAGGAAAAATTTACAGCATCGCATTCTTTGCCATTTTATGAACGTTTTTAGATTATTTTATAACTCGATATGTTATTCTACGCGTAGATAAAAGAATGTACTTTAATTTAATATAAGTTTCATTAAAATCTATTCACTTTTAGTATAAAAAATATTTGCCAGAACTTTTTAAAGAAATTGCAAAGATGCACAATTTACAGCATTGCATTCTCTGACATTTTATGAACTTTTGCGTATCGATTTATAACTCAATGAGGTATTCTACGCGTAGACAAAAGAGTGTACTTTAATTTAATATAAAAATCATTAAAATCCATTTGAAAAAAGTATAAAAAATATTTACCGAAACTTTCCAAAGAAATTGTAAAGATGCACAATTTACAGCATTGCATTCTCTGACATTTTTTAAACCTTTGCAGATTGATTTATAACTCAAAAAAGTATTCTACGCGTACAGAAAAGTGTGTACTTTAATTTAATATAAGTTTTATTAAAACCTATTCACTTTTAGTATAAAAAATATTTACCAAAACTTTTCAAAGAAATAGCAAAGTTATACAATTTATAGCATTGCAATTTCTGATACTTCTTTGAAAAGTTTTGGGGGGGGGGGGTAGGGGTTGCGTATCGCTGTTTTTTTTTTCAACGTTGTCTAAATAGTAATTTGATATTCTATAGAATATCAAAGTATTATGTTCAATGCTTAGGAAAAACTGTAAGAATTCTTCTGTTTCCGACTTCATCGGAAGGTTCTTTGCATTGATAAGAATGCCGAGGAATTACCAGCAATTGCGGATTTCTGGCTATGACAGTAACATATATATGAAGAGTTACACAATATTAGTTAAAAAAAAAAGAAGAAGAAAAAAAACTGATGTGTTTGCTTATGTAGGCACGTAAGAAGTTATACTTCTTTAGTGTACCAAAACGAACATAACCTCAATAACATCAAAAATAACTTCAATTATCTCGCGTATCAATATAATACTTTACATTTGTCTAAAATACGATAATATGATAAAATAAAATGAAGATATTAAATACCGTTGATAAAGGTTTTAATTAATATGTACAATCTAATGAATTTATTTACGAATTACTTCATGCCGTAAATTTGAAATCACTTTGCCAGCGCATCGTAAATATCGACAACTTCGTAGTGTCGATTTTTCGGTTGCATCTAACTTCACTTTCCAAAATGCGCCAAAACACGCGGCATGGGGACGTACGCGGGGATGGTGATTTCCCTTATTTTGTATTTTCTTGTTGATTTTTTTTTATCGTAACCCTTTTAACAAAAGTCACGGATAATAATGTCAGATTGTATGAAATACTATGTCATGTAAATTGATAGATGGATAATATTAAATATCATTTAAACAATATATATATGAAGCGTTACAATATTGGTTACACACTCGTTTATCTACGTAAATATATATTCTTGGTAAGTATACCCAGGGTTATATTTGCATACATATGTATTATACGTGTATAAATATATATATATATATGTATATGTATATGTATATATTTGATGCAGATTTATATGAGAAAATCGGTAAGAACGCAAACGAGAAACTGCTTAAACTTTCGTATTGTTAGATGTTCCGATTGTACCTACGCATAGAATTCTACCAAGTTACTCTCTCGATCCTCTGGGTAATTAGTAGTCTAGATACGCCTGTTTGACCTCGCCAACTAGACCAATTTAGGGTTACTTAGACAAGTAATTCCGCGAGAGTTCTGAGTAGAAAGCGGATAAGGAGAAATAGAGAGAGAGAGAGAGAGACTAAAGCAGAAACGTTAACTATCTGGCAAACGTTTGAAAGTGTACCCTGTAAATATAATTTGTACATATTACATACGTTCCTACCTATGTAATATTACGATCTACGACCATTTTCAAAATCTACGTACTATATATATGTATATATGTATATGTATATGTATATATGTATATCTGACTTCGTGCTTACGGTTGGATTAATTCTCGATACATGATTTAAATCTTTTTGAAATTTAGAATTTGTCGGAATTCTCGATCCGAATAATAATAATAATAAAAAAAAAATAGGTATTAAAAAAAGCATGGCTTTTCCGCCCGAAGCGACATCGGCAAAAACCGATTTGTCGAACGAAAAGCGAATGAATGATCTCTAGCTAGCTTGATAAAAAAAATAAAATAAAATAAAAGTAAAAAAAAAAAAGGAGAAAAAGATAGGAAGAGAGAGAGTGTGTCGGGGAGAAAAAAATAAAAGAAATAATATGATTTGAATAATAATAAAAATGGTCAGACTTGTATGATAAAATCATTTTCGTTTCGTTAGAAAATCTAACCATAAGATAAATCCAAGTTAGAAAATATTGTAGAATCGACGATAGACGAGGAACGGTTCGTTAAGATCAAATGACATGGTCGGTTAAATTCGTCTTATTCCAGTAGAAGCAAATACACCCATCGTGGATTGGTCGTTGGATTGTAAAAGACAAGAGTAATAGCTTAGGAATTTGAAGAGGAATAATATCTCTACATTGTATATGTGAGAAGATAGTGATGGTGGTGTTGATGGTGATGGTGGTGGTGGTGCATTGTAGTCGTCGTGATGCTCGAATGACGGTTAGCGGAATCATGTGTACGTCATGTTCCCGTTTCTTCTTTCGTACTTCCTTCTTCCATTTCTTGGACGGCAAGTTCATAGCTTAAACGGAAGTAAAAAGTCAATGTAATGGCGCTCGAAAAAGAGATACAGAGAGGAGGATGCATACGTTGGTGGTGGTGTGTGTGACGTCACGAGAATGAAAAAGAATCATCAAGTCAAAGCAACGGCCACGAAATCTTATGTTATAGACTACATTCATGGAAAAGAAAAGGATAGAAGAGAAATAAGAAAGAAATAAAAGAAAAGAAAAGAGGGATCTCTGGTTGGAAGTTTAGGCTTGGTCGGCAATGTGTATATGCATTCGCCATAGCACGATATATAGATGTAAAGAAAGAAAGAGAGAGAGAGAGAGAGAGAGAGAGAGAAGGAATAGGTGGGGTGGTGACGTCACACTTACACGGCGGCCGCAGCGAGGAAGACGGAATGATAGAGAAAGAAAGAGATATAGATAGAGGAATTGGATGGGTGGGGGAAGCCAGGAAGAGTGAGAGAGATAGATAGAGAGTTTAGCAACGAGGTTTTCCGAACAACGACGGAAGGGACCGAATGCGATGGATAGTTGTGCGTCGGAGTGGTGCGGAGTGGCCCGGAGAGGGGGCACTTGGAGCACGCCGAAGACTCGTTTGGGGGGCGCATGGTGGGGGTTGACGGGGGTCCAGGCATGGAGAGGGCGCAGTTCCGCGCTATCCTCCGTATCGTTGACACGTCCGAGTAGAAAGAGTGCCACGCTGCCGACTTACCTCGAGTTTCCATAACTTTTTTTCTTATTCTTATTATTCTTATTATACTTATTATACTTATTCAACGCGTTATAATATTACATCTCATTAATTATTTTTCCCTAATCTTAATTAATCTCTTATATATAACTTTGATACGATTTAATCATCCATTTTGGATTATAAATCGTACCGATCTTAAATCTGTCGATCAATGAACACGCGCATTTTTTCGAACGACTTACCAACGTTTAGAAAGTAAATAATCAAAGTGAGATAGATAGAGAGTAAGGGAGAGATAAAGGGACGCGGATCTACGTAAGCGAATTAAGAATTTGTCGTTTTGATTTTCTTCCCCCCCCCCTCTACCCCTGTCAAAAAAGGGAATTTCTTTCTTCTTCTTTTTTTTCTTTCCCCATTTTCTTTTCGTCCTTTTTATACCTGATTTAGTTGTTTCTTTGACATTTACATCCGTACACTTTCCTTTTCCCATTTTTTTATTCGTTCTCCTTTGAGTATCGTTAATTTCGGTTCCGATAAAATCAATCAATCAATTAATTAATTAATCAATCAATCAATCAATCAATCAATCGATCGTTCGTTCGTTCGATCGATCGATCGATCTCGCGAGTGAGTTTTATTTATTTTTTTGTTTGTTTATTCTGTTGAGTGTTCCTCATACTCTGTTTGTGTTTAAAGAGAAATAAATAAATAAATAATTAAAGAGATAGATAGATTGATAGAAAGAAAGAAAGAAAGAAAGAAAGTGTTTCTCTTAAAAAGATAGTGACTTTGACGCTTGGACTATCGCCATTTTTCACAAGACGTGTGTGAGAAGATACAAGACAACGATGATGGCCGTTTCCTCTTCTTCTTCTTATTCTTCTTCTTCTTCCTCCTCCTCCTTTTTCTTCTTGTTCGCTGTCTTGGTCGTTGCGCTCGTGTTCAGCGATGGGACCATGGGTACCACGGCAAACCAGATGACGTTGGAAGCCAGGATCTACGACGACCCCGAACTATCACAGGTTACTGCCCTCACCATAATTCTTTCTTGCTTATGTGTTTTGTTTTTTTTTTGTTTCATTTGTTTTATTATTGCATTAACGATTATTAATCGATCTATCGATTATTATTATTATTATTATTATTTTATATTCTATTATTGCGTTAATGTGCAATATACGCAACCGTGATGACAAATTTTATTTTCGTTGCATTCAATAATTAATTATGCTAATACAATCAAACGTTTTTACAAATGTTAATAAAAAACGACCATTTTACCAATCTTTTTTTTTACTTTTTTTTTTTTTTTGATATCACATCATAAATCGCGATGCAATTTGATAGTTTATAACTTGACTTTACTTACTACGAAACAGTTGCAAATTGAAGGTACGTTCAGGTTCAAGGACATCGTCGCGTGTGCCCTTTCGCAAATGTTACTCTCTCTCTCTCTTTCTCTCTCTCTCTTTCTCTCTTTCAAGTTGCTTTAAAGAAGGAACGAATCGTCGTCCTTCTCATTTTTCTCTGCTTCTCCAAGAATTCCAGAACAAATCCGAGCAGCAGACGGGCGTCAGAAAGAGAAAGAAAGAGAGTTAGAGAAAGAGAGAAAGAGAGAGAGAGAGAGAGAGAGAGAGAGTTAGAGACAAAGTGAGACAGAGATAGACAGAGACAAAGAAGCCACTAATGGCGGCATTTTTAAACTCGTCGTGTTCTATTTCACTCTGTTACGATTCTTTTTCTCGTTGACTTTTTCGCTTCCGTTGAGTTGTTACAGGGGCGTGGGGGGGGGGGGGTGAAGGGGAAAAGGATCGATCATTATTTCTCGTCGAGTTAACAAAAAAAACAACAAACAAAATAAATCTGTCGATATTCTTTATAGATAAAATATACAATAATGTATATATAAAAAAAAAAAAATAAAAAATGAAGAAAAATTAAATAAGTAAGGTAGTAATAAATGAAAAAAAAAATTAAACGTAGTTAAAATGTCATTCATTCATTCGTTCGTTCGTTTGTTCGTTTGTTCGTTCGATTTCGAGAGAATTTCGTGGAATTCGTTTGACTACTACTTTTTTCCTTGATCCTTTTTTTTTTCTTTTTTCCCCCCTCGAAGAAATGTGTCGTCTGTCGCAGCAGAGATGCATACTACATATATATATATATATATATAAATGCATATACATAAGTTCGTTATGTGTCCACCACGCCCACGCAGTTACTTTTTCCTTCTTCTTTAATACTTGCCGTTCGGTTTAGTTTCCTTGAAAAATGACACGAATTCCGTTATACAATTTCTATCGTAAAAAGATATAATGTCCATGCAGAAGTATCGACTGTATTCCTTGCTACGAATTTTTTTCCTAAACCCCTCCCCCTCCCCCACCCCCTGTGGCCCCGTTGTTTCCTTATTTTAATTCATTTTCTTTTTTTTTTTCTTTTAATTTTTTATTCTTCTTTTTATTATTTTGTCGCGTTATTTTT